CTGATTTGCCTGATTCTACACCTACTAGTCCTTCGAGCTACCACTTTGAGATTGAATACTCTCCAGTTCAAACAGAGTTGTTAGTTCTAGCTTCTACTTTTACTGATAAAATGGCCAAGCCAAGCATTCACATTTCTGAAATTAAGAAGATGATCGAAAAGATAGTGGTAGCCAGCCTTGAAAAGCTCTTACGGACTGATAAGGGAAATGAGCAAGTAGTGATTGAGGATGAAAAGGCCAAAGTTGAGTCTGAAAGAAAGGAGCATTTTGACGACACTTGGCAGGACGAAGAATTTTTCTCCAAGAAGATGCCTACAAGAAAGTCTGAGCCTAAACCGATTGTGTTAGAAAAATTTGAAAAGCTAGACAAAAAGCTTGAGAAGCTGTACGTGTTCATGAAATCTAAGGGAATGGGCCAGTATATAGACATTGATGATGATGAGGAGGAGGAGCTTGAGTTGAAGCAAACTACCCCTATGACCTATAAGATGCCAAAAGTGGCAAAATATGATGGTAATGGTGACTCGAAGGTGCACCTCATGCAATACAAGTCAATCATGGAGTTGGCGAGTCTGCCGTCAAGGGAGATTTTGAAATATTCCCGATGTCCTTAACTAGGTCTGCCCAGACTTCGTATTACAATCTCGAAAGAAGGTGAGAAGAGGTTGGAATGAGTTCACCACAGTTTTCCTTAAAGAATATGCCTACAACCATCAAATGAGTGTCAATTTGAGGGATTTTGGAAGCAACTGTGCAAAAACAAGACGAGAACTTTACAGATTACATGGCTAGATAGAGAGCCAAGATCACGCAGATAAGGAACCGTTCGGATACCAAGGAGCATATCAAGATTTTCATTAAGGGAACTTTGCCAACTTTCGTGAGAAGTTGTATTACATGCCGCTGACAGAGTTTTCACAAGTGTATGAGGTGGGAACCACTATTTAGGACAAGATCTGAGAAGACAAAAAGTATTAGAATCGTGCTGAAAGTTTTGGCAAATCCGGGTTCCAAGGGTCAAGTTCGTCTGCCAAGACCCCAAGCACCAACATGAACACAACATCTGCCACTCTAGATTCAAAAGCCACTAACATTCCATTGAGAAGATTTTCCAACTTCGGTACTCCTCTTTCTAGAGTTTTCGAGAAAGTAAAATCAGTAAGTCTGCTACAATCACTTGCACCAAGACCTCCTCCAACTATTTTGCCAAAGAATTTTGATTAGAATTCATATTGTCACTTCCATCAGAGCAAAGATCACACCACTGACAATTGCTTGCAATTGAGGCACGAGATTCAAAACTTAATAGATGATGGCGAAGTGACTGATCCTGAAAAGTCAAGGCCAAACACGACGAATAATCTACTCCATAATTTCCAAAATGTGCTGCCTCCTAAGAACTTGTATATGGTTAAGTCTGGAAAGACTCGCAAGGAGGTGTTAGCCGAATTCGAGGAAGAGAATGAGGAAAGAGAGAGGGAGATGATATTGGAACAAATCTATGTAATAGTGCTGAATGTCTGGGACAGTGATGAAGAATGGATGGACCAAGGTGAGGAAGCATGGGTTGGAAGCGATGATGAGGTAATTGTGCATCCCGTTACTTTGGACGTATAGAGTAGCAAGGAGGAAGAGGAAGCTAGAGCAGTTAATCACATGACCCAAAGTGGTCGAGTTTATCAACCGAATATGATCAAGCCTAGGGAAGAAAAAGAAAAGGCCAGCTCATCAGGTATGCCAAAAACAGAAAATGAAGATGATGCTCTAATTAAACAGATGAAGAGAACCCATACAAATGTAAGCATGTGGGACCTGCTCGTCTCATCAAAGAAACACCGTGAAGCTTTCTTGAAAGCGATGGTTGAGATTCCAGTTTTATCATCTATATCTCCGGCTGATTTTGTGGGGATAGTCCAGCATAATCCCCTCACTATCACCTTTTCTGATGATGAACTTCCTCCTGAAGGAAGGAATCACACCAAAGCTCTGTTTATAAAGGCTGAGGTTCCTGAAGGAAGGAATCACACCAAAGCTCTGTTTATAAAGGCTGAGGTCAGAGGTAGGATTACCAAAAATATGATGATTGATGATGGGTCAGCTTTGAATAGATGGCCGTTAAAGTTGCTTTCCAAATTTAAGATGGAATTGTTCGATTTGGAACCTTCTAATGTTGTCATTAGAACTTATGATAACTCTAAGAGACAAGTGGAGGGAAATTTCAAGACAATGGTCAAGGTGAGGCCGATAGAAAAGGAGACTGAGTTTATTGTAATTGATATAACCCCTACATTCACCCTACTGTTAGGGCACCCATGGTACCATTCCTTAGGAGGAGTACCATCAACGCTGCACCGGAAGATAAAATTTCCTTTCAACGGTGAAGTCATCACCATTCCTACTGTCAGTGAAAGGAGTGTAGCTATGCTAAATGTGGACAAGCAAGTAATCCTCCCATGGATCGATTTTCAGATTGCTGTGTTGAGCACTGACATGGAGCCCACTGTCTCCAACATCATGAAGAAGATGAATTATGAAGAAAGAAAATGGCTTGGAAAGAATCAACAAGGCATCACGGAGCTACCTAAAATCCACACTCAGAGAAACCGCTTAGGCCTGGGGTATAAAATTGGAAGCACACCATTGAATACATACGGCTAGTTGGACATGGATGGACGTTTCGTCCGTTCAAGTGAGCATTCCTCTCCATGTCTGCCAATAGAGCCATTTGAGCATAAGGGGAAGATGTACCCAGGTCTTGAGATCTTTGCAGATGTAATTAATATCTTGGTGGTTGAGCCCAAAGCTTTAGAGACTGAATCTGAATCTAAAGAAGAAGAAAAAGAACTAAAGAAAGAGGGGGTTGAGGGGCCACAAACGACCGAGGAGGAGAAAAAGGAAGAAGAAGAGAAGGAAGAGGGACAAGTTGCCCAAGTGAAAGAGGAGGAAAGCAATAAAGGGAAGGTGAACGATGACAAAGAGGAAGAAGACCCTGCGGATCAAGTGCTGAAAGCGATCTGAGCCTACATCGAGGAAAGCTTTAAAGAAGTTGAAGTCCCTTCTGATGTGACTATTTCTGTTAAGGATGAATCTGATTATAATGAACTGTCTATGCTTTTTAATGAAATGAACTTTAATTTTGCTTACTTGTTTGATGTCTTTCCTAATGGTTCCATTCATTAAGTAGATAAGCACATGCGCATATTTGACATTAACTCATCATGCGAAGATGAATCTGATTATAATGAACTGTCTATGCTTTTAAATGAAATGAACTTTAAGTTTTGCTTACTTGTTTTGATGCTTTCCTAATGGTTCCATCATTAGTTAGATAAGCACATGCGCAGTATTTTGAACATTACTCATCATGGCCATTGGTCGGATGGGCTGTGAATTTAAGTATTGGTAACAAAAGATAATTCCACGAATGTTTAGTATAAAAGAGCAGAACTTAACGCAAGCTTAAAGACAAAATTAGAAGTCATAGGGTATTCTATCCGCGAATCGCAAAAAAGGACATGCGCATATTTGACATTAACTCATCATGCATGCTTGAATTTAATATTGGTACAAAAGATAATCCACGAATTTTATTAATTGGGCCAAACTTAACGCCAAAGCTAAACACAAAATTTAAAAGTCTACTCATGGACAAAAAGGAAGCCTTCGCGTGGATATATGAAGATATGCTAGGGATAGACAAGTCTATAGCTGAGCACACAATCCCTTTGTATCCTGGAGCCAAGCCAGTGTAACACAAGAGAAGAGTCTGCTTAATTCAAGCAATAGGAGGAACAACAACAATAATAAAGAAGAACACAAGTTTTGGGTTTCTATACTTGCGTTTCTATTTTTATTTTCTTTTTTTTTTAGTCTTATTTGGTGTTAATATATAAATTTGCTACAAAAAAAGTGTGTAGATCTGTATTGTAGTTTTAGCCTTTCAATCTCTTAGGGGTGTATTTCTGCATTAATGAGTGTTTGGGTTTGTATATATGAATTTCAATGCAAAATAAGGAAGGAAATAAATATAGAATTTGTTCCTTAGATGCCATTTTTATTTCTTGGTGTTAGATAGAATATAAATATTCATATAGGGACTAAAATGGAATTTGCTTATAAACTCGTATAATTATAGTGACTAAAAGGATATTTGACATATAAATCCTATTGGGTCCTTTTCTTGGACATTTAAGTCGGCGTCTAAATAGAAAAAAGGATACCAAATTTGGGTCCTATTCTTGGATATTAAGTCAGCGTCTAAATAGGAAAACAGATACCGTTCTTATTTAGGATTTATATGTCAAATATCCTTTTAGTCACTATAATTATAAGAGTTTATAAGCAAATTCTATTTTAGTCCCTATATGAATATTTATATCCTATCAGTGTTGTTATTCGAGGAAGAAGAAGGTAGAAACTGAGTTATTCTGATTATATCTATTCTCTGGGCTCCTTTCTTTTTAATTATGTAATTTGTCATTTTTCTACTATTTTATGTCTAATAAGCTATTTTATAGGACAAAAAAAATTAGAGTTGTCGTGTTTACTATAATTACTAGTATGTCAGAGCTTTTTTGCCAGCTCATGGTGAGCACAACTCACGCGTGCAATAGGAGTCCAGTGAAAAATGTAATATATATAAAATAAAAAAAATATAAGGTCGCAGTAGGTAATTCACGAATTATAGTGAGTTACAATATTTTTTAATGAAAGTACAAGAGGTAAATTATGCATTTGGCCTCTTGATATTTGCCCACCGAGAAAAATGTGGCTGATTTTGGCCGGAAGAAGGTGAACATGCAATGGACACATAATTCAGGGAAGCCTCGTTTGTTTTTAAATTCAGGTATGTTGTACGGAGGTGTTTTCTTTTTCCTATATTTTTTACCGGACTGATCTAGGCTTAGGCTGGTGTATAAAGATCTGGTCCTGTCAGCTTCGGTCTGAACCCAATCGAGCCCGGCCCATCAGGTCCACGCATAAGCGACTTCTGTGTTGAATCTCGAATCCCTAGAAAACAACCCAAGTAGCAATTTGGCTTCTCCTTACTCATTGGTAGTGCGGAGAAGTTTGTTCTGTTGTTGGAAATGGCGAGATCGTCGAGCAAGGACGCCCAAGCTCTCTTTCATTCCCTTCGCTCTGCTTATGCAGCCACTCCTACGGGTCTCAAGGTTTGTCTGTCTGTCTCTCTCTCTCTCTCTCTCTCTCTCTCTCTCTCTCTCAATACAAAGCGTAGAACGAATTTGTTAACCGATAGTTATTTTGTGTGGCAGATCATCGATCTTTATGTTGGCTTTGCGATTTTTACTGCTCTAGTTCAGGTATTTCCTTGTCATTTATCTGTTTCTTAACTTTGATAATGATGACTTATTTATTAGATCTGCTCCATCACATAATCATGTGTTCACAAATGAAATAGAGAAAAAGGAATTCTCTGCATTTGTATTGTGCATTTGTTTTGGTAATTTTCATTTGTTTGCTATATTTAATTGCTTGGAAAGTATCTGTTGCCATTCTGGAGTCTGTGTTTCTTACAATTTGATCTAATTCATCTTTTTTCTACAGCTCTTTTATCGAGTTTATTAAGCTATTTCCACTCATGAAATCTTTTCATTCAAATATTTTTCCCATTTTGACTCGCTCTAAGGCAAATGGCTGTACAAATTTCTTATTTGTTTCTCTCTCTCTCTCTCTCTCTCTCTCTCTCTCTTGTAAATTTGTAGTTTTTGAAAGGGGTGTAAGCCTTAGTTAAAATTGAAAAATGTGATGAAAATTCTAATCTTTTTTCCTCTTTCGTTTCTTACCTTTGTGATAAAATTAATGTTCCAGAATCTGATGTTTTGTCTATAACTTTTTAGTGATTGAACTGCAATTACCAGGGTCTTTGTTTTGTTTTTGGTATGCTTTCCAAATTGTATATTTTAATTATTTGGATTAAAGGACTTTTTGGCAGAAAACTAATTCTAAGAAATATGAGAAAATTTGTCATAAATCAAAATGAATAAAACCTTCAAACAAGAGCTAAGGCACGAAGAAACCAGTCGAGAAATGTGTGTGAGGGAGTAGCCCTTAGAAAGAACTTTGATCTTCACCAGAACCCCATATACCAATCACAACCATTAGAAATTAAAAGGTTAATTGGAGCCCTATCTGGTTGAAACTAGAAGCTAGTACATTGGGGCCACTATTTTTTAGCCCTTTGGGCTGATTAGGTGGCCCTATTACTAATTTTATTGTCTGAAGCTGAACCCGTAGAGGTATCCATTGCTTGGGTGGTGTTAGCATTTTAGATATGGCAAGTTGTCAATGTTGATAGAAAGAATTGAAAATACATAGACAATGAAAGAGTCTGGAAAGAGGTATACTTTGTGGATTTTGACAGGATTTGGTTTTAATGGTCCTGTTGGTAAAACAATCAAAGGTGATATAGGACAATTTGTAGGAAGTGATTATTAAGGCTGGATATTGCTTTATTTGAAAACTAAAATGAGTAGATATTTAGGTGAGCTATTAGAGCTTGTATGGAAATAGATTGAAGAAGCCACAATCTAATTACAAAGGGAGGTTGTGGGTCTGTATAGGCGCTATCAATTATAAAATAAAAGAACTAGGCTTGGCAGTTATCACCGACTGTCCAGGGCTGAGCCCTGAGATTTGATGGAAGACTTAAAAAGCCACCTACAGACGCTTTTTTTACGTCAATCACTTTGGATATTACAATGTGAATGAATATTTACTGACTATTTGTATTTCATTTTATTTTTAATTGAAATTAGAACCTTCAAGGAGAAAAAGGAATAAGAGCCGTTTGGAATATACTCCATTTCTATTTTTAAGAATGTGTGTTTCACTAGGAAAATATGATATTTTCATTTGTTTCATTCCTTTAATAGATTTTAGCATATTCATGGTATTTTCCACTAAGAAAAAAAAAATTCATACTTTTCTCTGGAGTGCAGATAATTGAAGTTGAATCTTGTTTCTTTATTGCCAACTTTTTACAATGAGGTGCAATTGAGTCTTTCTTCCTAATTCAAGAGTGCAAAATCTCATTTTTCGTACGTATTACAACATTTTCCCCCCCCCACATATTATTTTATGATATGAATTATGAAATTTGCAACAACACAAACTCACCACAGTAGTTGAGTTGGACAGCTGACTTTTTAGCTTTCCTTGCATGGTTTAAAATGGAGTTGGCAAGAGAAACTAAGTTGCAATAGTGTCATTATGTTAGCAGTTGTTCTATATAGTATAAAGTGTTGAATTCTAATAGGATGGAGGGTAAATTCACCAACAGTTGCTGTTATAATAATAGCAATATATAGTGCGAGATACTATATTGTATCATTTTGTGGACCGGACCTTCAACCTGAAATTCACATGCTTATAACACAATTAATTAACTAAAAAACAAAGTACCATGTATAGCAATGTATATTGCGAGATACTATATTGTATCATTTGGCTAACCTTCAACCTGAAATTGACATGCTCATAACACGATTAATTAACTATAAAAACAAAGTACCATGTATACCATTTTATACACATACACAGACCAAAAAAAGTACTAAGGTTAAATTTGTGATTGTCAGAAATAATGAATGATAGACTAAAGAAATATTGAGTAAATGTAAGTGTTTGTATTTGATGCGAAAATTAATCATTTATTCATTTAATGTAATGGGTCATGTTGGTTTTCATGTTTGTGACAAAAAATCATTCATCTCTGGTTTGGTCGACCTATATACTGTTCTTTCAATTTTTTAACATGGTACAAATATGACCAGTTAAATTGGCACCATGCACATTCAGAATACTCAACAAAAGGTTTCTGCATAAACAAATATGGTGGATGACAGAGTTACTTTCCTTCTTTGTTCATCTGTTGCATTTTTCTCAATGATTCCCTACTTTTACATGTGTCTGTGGTGAAATTGTATTTTCTTTGGCTTTTCTGGTGTACTGTTGTTTTTCTTGTCAATATTACTGGACTTTACATGCAAGAGCTAAAATGCTAGTCGATAAATATTAAAGGAAACATATTTAATGAGCATAATAAGCAAGGTCATCAAATTGTTGCTAAATGTAATGCATATAACTTGTAATTATGAAGATCTTGTTCAAAATTCTATGGAATTGCCACATTATTGTGGAAGTAGATTTTGATGTAGAATATCTGCTGCACTACCAGCAAATATTTGAAACTATTCATAGCTTTTTCTCCTCGTATAGTGATTAATAATTTGAATGCATCCTTTTTCATTTCAACTAATTGAAATTTCATCACTGATTACGAAGTTCAGATCTGAGACCATTTTGACTTTGTTTTCTGATTGACAGGTGGGTTACATGGCCATTGTTGGATCATTTCCATTCAATTCTTTTCTTTCAGGAGTACTTTCTTGTGTAGGCACAGCAGTCCTTGCTGGTAAGCAGGCAGCACTAGCAAAATTAACTCTTTAGTTTATTGGCCTGTTTCAGTTTAAATGGAGAGATTAAGCCTGAGAATGAACTTTTTTTTATTTTGCCACAGTTTGTCTCCGTATCCAGGTGAACAAAGAAAACAAGGAATTCAAGGTGAGATTGCTGTATGCTTAATCTTGTGCTCCCATTAGTTGATGAGAAAATTGAAGAAAATTCAGATTAATGTTCCCAAATTTTAGTAGAACCATCTCTTTTGCCATATCCCCTCACTCTCATCGAGTTAATGTGGGTTATTTGTTACTTTTTTCCTGCAATTATGTTTCTACAATCAAGTAATTGGATGTTTCTTTCATCTAACTGTAGGATTTACCTCCAGAGCGTGCTTTTGCTGATTTTGTTCTCTGCAATTTGGTGCTTCATCTGGTGATTATGAACTTCCTGGGTTAATCTTGATCTGCTGGACACATTCCTGCATCTGTAACTTTTGAGACAGTAGTTATGAAATAGTTTTGTTCCATGAATGCAGCAAATTTTCTTTGGCTAATGTTTTTGAAATATTGAACTGCGGTCGGGGTTTTACTTATTTAGTTGTTTATAATGATGAAATTATAAATGTTGCTTAGACGAACAAACCCTTGTCGATCAAGCAAACCATGATTGATCCCTAGGCGCGCAACATTACGTCAGTACCTCCCCCATTTTGTCAACTGAGTGGTTGGTTCATCTTTTTCTTTATTTACATGGTTGGCCTGGGCCCTTGTCTGCTGAGATATATCTTGGATAGATGAAATTTCACACATCTTTGAGCTCTCTTAAGGCTTCTGAAGGAAAATACTTTTTACGATTTGTCGTTATTTGGGGTGTTCAGGACAAGGACAATAAGTAATGGAAAATGTTTTCTGATACTTTTTTATTTATTATTGATTTATAATCTAATCTTTCTAATTGATTTGATTAAAATATTGATAAATTTATTTATAATTTTATAAATGCATATTTTTTTTAATTTATTAATTATCAATAGTCATTATTCACAGCTAGAATGACTATGACTTTTATAATTTATCATTTGTTTTACATTTTTCTTATATTTAAAAATAAAATTTTAAAAACATGAAATATCATTATTATAAATATTTTTATGGTATCATGAGTTAAAAATTTTAATATTTTTTTACTAATTTTTAATATTGCAACTGAATAATGAAAAAATAATTGATGTGAAAAATATCTTTTAAGAGTTGAAAATATTGTTCAAACATAAATTATGACTTAATTTTTCAAAAGCAAATCGAGTCACGGAGGCCAAGTGCTTGCCGGAGATTTCTCTATGTTTTGTCACATTGAGGACCAACTTATTTGACTAATTAGATTAAAAAAAATTTAAAAAATGAATCCTTGATGAGATAATTTTACTTTAGAAGAGGCCAATAACAAATCCCTCTGCCAAATGGCTGCATAGAGAAGGGGAAAGATATTTGACCTAAATTTATTGTGTTTGTTTATGGCTTAATACAGTTACTAACCCTAAACTCTGTAACTTCTTATAACTGTATCTTACTTTTAATTTTTTTTTTATAATATTTAAATTTATAAGTTCGGAATTTATCGTAATGTAAAACAAATTTTGAGAAACAAATTATTCCAGATTAGTTCTTAGTCAATATGTTTTTGAATCTAATTTTATGTAAACAAAATAAAATATTATTTTCACATTTTAAAAGATGAAATCATAAAAAAAAAAAAATGGAAGAAGAAATGAAAAATACAAAATAAATAAAACATAATATTCAAGACCAAAATAGATAGAAGTTTATTTCTACAATACTTTTATTTTTGTATTAATTAAAATTTTAACTTTTGTTCCAAAAAAAATAAAAATTATTTTTTGTATTTTTAAAAGATAAAATTCAGAAATTAAAAAAATAAAATTGAAACTTGAAACATAAAATTTAAAAATAAAAAAAAATGTAAATTCAAGGCTACAAACAATAAATGTTAATTTCTACCAACTTACTGGACTATCCTAATTTTTCAAATTCAAAAATTTCAATTTAAAATTAATTTTTAAAAGGAGTATTTTCAAGTATAATATTTTAAATTGGTATTTTTGCTTATTATATCATATTTCGTGAAAGTAGAAGTAAAGGGCAATTTTGAAAGTTCAAGTAAAAGTAAAGACTAATAATTAAGAAATATACTGTTTATGAAAGTATTAAAAGTACTATTATTGATTATAACATTATTAATATCCCTATAAATATAAATCTTATACTTTACCTAACATAGTACTTTTACTTTTATTTTTTGGCGAGAGGTATTACTGAAATGTGAAAGTATAAGATCGTCCTTACAAATTTGAGGGTACCACAAGGTAAATTTTATAAACTTCAGAGATAAATTTATGCAATTGGCGGTTTATAAAATACCCATAAATGTAAAATCTTAAATTATTTTAGATCTCTAATAGGCTGGTGTTAATAATTATTAATTATAATTATTTTAAAAAATCCTAATATATTTATGGTATAAAATCTTTTTTAAAAATCTTTTTAAAATCTTCATTACTGATAGAAATCCAATATTTTTTTTAATCTTTTGTAATAAAAAAATAAAGAAGTTCACAACTATATTATTTTTAATCTAATATTGATCTCATTTTTCTTTAATTATCTATCATTAAATTAATTATTGGAGAGGGCATTAGTGGCAAATGAGGAGTTGTTGAGGTGTAGTTGGTGATTTTGATAGGATTATGGAATTTTGATTTTTGGTTTCTACTTGTATAATTGGATTAATTGAAACTACCAAAAAAAAAAAAAAAAAAAAAAATTGGTTTCCAAGTGGGCTGACATGATGGTTAAAGTGGACCTAATTTTTCTCAAGTAAACCGATATATATGTCGACGTCACGTGGAGGTGTGGTCTACGGGTGTGCTGTTTGTATCGGCGCGGTGAGTTTTCGTTCTAGTGTGTGTTCGCGACGATGTGTCGGCGCATGATTGGAGGGAATCTATATTGTTTGATCTTAACTTAAGTTACTTTTTATATAAAATATATTCAGTTTTATATTAGAATTTATACCTGAATCCTTTGCGATCGTATCGATTTGCCTTCTATAATCTTTAGAGGCTCTTAGCCAGATAATCTACTCTCCGTCTTGCTGAGAAGTGACCGGCTGCGATGTTGAGGATAATAGCTGGTGATAAGGCGGCATTTAATGCTTTGACAGCCTTTAATATCTGTGGGTGGTTGTGTTATTTCGCTTGAGGGCTGTCGAGTTCTCTTTCCGCGACTCTATATTCTTACTTTCTTTTGTTGTGGTAACGTCATTTAGTGAGTATATCTGTGTATCTGTCTACGTTTTTTTCTAGATGTGTTCTTTTGTGCTTTTGTATTATGTTATTTTGTGATAGCTTTTGTATAGTTCCGGAATGTTTATGGTAATGGTTAAATCCGTAGCGAATTGTATTTGTCTCTGGAGAAACAAATATTATTCGCAGATTTATTTCTCGTTGCTGCTATGTGTGTCAAGTATGTTTTTTGTTGGGAATTCTGTAATTTACGTTTAGGTGAGAACTCTAAAATCAATTGAGTATATTTTTTTTTCTGTGTCTTGAGACTATTTGGTTTATAAGTTATTCAGGTGATAAATGGATAAATATAGGATCGTAATTACATAAATTTGTGAGAGAATTGTAATATTGAACATTATTTATTACGATCAATTATTTTATTTACTTTGTATTCTATATTTATATTTTTTTGACATGTTTTGGGACCTCTAATAATTCGGATTTAGAATAGTGTTATTTATTTCGCTCTAGACATGATCGCGTGTTTGAATGTTTTTTGTTGCTTAGCTTAATTTTTTAAATTCTTTTTTGTTTTCTACAAATATTTCAAATAGAAAATTATTTCCTTTTTTGTGTGTTTCTGGGTTTATTTTTGAGTTAATTAGAGTATAAATATTTCAGATTATTTACTACATAAATTAAATGTGGAGAGCGGAAGAAATTGATTTTTACCAAGTAAGGTTGTTATAGAAAGTTGAGGAATAATATTCAAATGTACGTACTGTGTTTCTCTTATTGTAGTAGCTATCATAACCTTGTATATTTATTCATCATGTGTTGGTATTTTTTATATCTATCTTTCTAATACTATATTTTTCTGTGTGTGATTTTTTGTGTGGGATATTTCCTGTGACTTTTTTTTTCTCCATGTGTTTATTATTGAATATTGCTTTCTTTCTTTCTATGATTTCAAATAAAACAAGTTTGCTGTCGGACTATTCATTTGTTTTAATATACGTATTTATTCTAATGTTCGTTGAAAGCGTATGTTGATAGAACATTCTATATGTAGATATATGTATATTGTTAAAATTTGTGATAATTTACAGGCTTTGGTTATCAATATCTATGTGGTTCGAGATGAATAGAGAATTGTAAAGGGCACCTTTCTTTGATTATGTTTTTGAGAGTAAATCTATATGATGATGAATCATAAGTTGAGGTTTAAGAGGAATATTGTATTCTGACTTTCATTATATAGTTATTAATAGTGTCTCTTCTCTCGAGTTTGAGTGATGTTTTCACTCTTATATTAATGTAGGTTGAGTCTCATTCGTCTTCTCCTCAAGTACAATAAGTATATTATGCTAATGTGGTATTTATGGTGCTGTGTATTTATCTTTTAGCTCTTATCACTAGTGCAGTAACTTTTCATTATTTATATTTGTTGTATTATTTCTTCGGTATTAGGTCTTAAGAGCAGCGTAGTTAGAGGGTTAGTTTATCTGAGAATGTGCACCATAGAGTATCTTAAATGTACGTTTAGGCTCCTTATAACAAATGCTTTTGAGGTTTGGTATTACAATTCTGCTCTAGCATGGTAATAAGACTAACTTTTGTTTCTTATATATCTTCGTTTAGAGACTCAATATTTTTTTATATGTTCAACTTGGCTGTGTATATTAGAGAAATTACCCATAATGCTGTTAATTAAACATCTTTAAATTTTTTCTTCACCTACTTATTGATCTTCCTGAATTTTGTATGGGCCCCACATTGTGTTGTATTAAATAATTTACGATATTAAATATTTATATAATGTTAATTTATTATATTAAAGTTATTTATAAAGTATATAGCATCTCTACGGGTTATATGATTTTAGAATCTAGTACTTATCTGCAATGGTCGAGTTTTATGGGGTTTAGTTGACGTGAAGAGTTTTCTCTTTTTTGAGAGAAAAGTCTTCCCTATCACAGTAACGTAATCTCTCTCTTGCCACCTACCACCTTTTCAGTATGGTATCATCTATCTGCTGATCCATTTTTTTTTTTTGTCTTTTCTGGTGTTTAGGAGTCTCTATTATGTGATGGATAGGAATAGAAAAGGCTACGTTTATACGGTGATATATTGCGAGCCTTGAGATCGTGCTATAAGGGGGGCTATAGATGCACAGGTTCTATGTTTTTAATCAGTACTGCGTAGTAGATTATCATCTGTAGTTCTTTATTATCATTTATACTTCTTATTTATTATTATTCTTTAATTAGTGTACCTTCCGCCTCTGGGAGAGTCTATTATAGTGGCACAATGAGTGACGCGCTCCTCTTTTTTCTCGTACGGCTCGGTTAGTTTTTGCGTGATACTCTCTGTTTTGATACGCGTTTGATTATGTGTGAGATCTTGATTTTCTGTGTTTCTTCACTGTGTATAGTGTGGATTCGGAGGTGGAGAGTGAGAAGCAACCGTTAAATAATAGAAAAAATAAAAAAAAAAAGTACGAAGATCATTTTCGGTTGGTGAAG